GTTTCCTGTTTTGGCTGTAGGACAGGCGGTGAAGGAAAATCTCTCCAATGGGACACAGAAGGCAAAAAAGAAAGTGGAAGGAGTTATTACCTTTCTTTACTTGAATAATTGAAAAAAATATTCCTGTGTAAACTTATATAGGAAGTAATTATACAAAAATAAATAAAAGATTAACCACTTGCCCTCCAGAGGATTTACCCCCCCCCCCTTCCTGACCAGGCCATTTTTTGCGTTATGGCGCTGCGTTACTTTAACTGACAATTGTGCGGTCATACAACGGTGCACCCAAATTAAATTTATGTCCTTTTTTTCCCACAAATTGAGCTTTCTTTCGGTGGTATTTGATCTCCTGTGCGTTTTTTTTATTTTTTGCGCTATAAAAAAAAAAGTCTGACAATTTTGAGAAAAAAAAAATATATTTTTTAATTTTTGCTATTAAACATGTCCAGTAACAAAATTTTAAAAATCAAATTTCGTCATAAATTTAGGCCAAAATGTATTCTGCTCCATGTCTTTGCTAAAAAAAAAAAAAAAAATCCCAATACGTGTAAATTAATTGGTTTACGTGAAAGTTATAGCATTTACAAATGGCAATATAGATACTGGAATTCCTTTTTTTTTTTTTTTTTTTCAGCTAATAATGGCGGCGATCAGTGACTTATAGCAGGACTGCAGGACTGCGGCAGACATTCTGACACTGGGGTGGAACAAACTTGGTGTCACTGATATCCCCAGTGACACCAATAGTGCGATCAGTTTTAAAAATCCCGCTGACACTGTACTAATGGCACTGGGCAGGAAGGGGTTAACATGAGGGGGCGATCAAAGGGTTAACTATGTGCAGGGAGTGTTTTACTAGGGGGTGGTGTGTTGGTGCTTCACTGTAAGCACACTGCTCTGGATGGCTGTGCACAGCCATCCAGAGCAGTGTGCCCGAGCCAACAGGGAGGAGGACTGTTGGTAAACAAAACAGTCTTCCTCCCCATTGGAAATCACCGGGCGCCGGTGAGTAGTTACCGGCCGGGACCCGGTGATTGACAGCCGCAGCGGCGAATGGCACTGGATATTTGACCATTTATCCCTGTAGTGGAAATGTTACATCTTTCAGAGGATAAAAATAAATGGTGCAGCGCTAACTACAAAAAACATAAATTGAAATAAATATATATATAGTATGTATAGTGCTAATACATCACAAACCAACAAATTCATATAATCAATATAGTGAGTAGTGAAAAAAGTGATAACACAAATAAAAGTGATCAACACTAGTGAAAGGGTCACCTTGGTGACCTGCAATAGTGATACACACATGAAATATAAAATAAATTAAACTCATGTAAGGGTCCTTATTCCTTCTCAAAGAAAACTTTTAAACCAAACACTTTTTAGTCCATGAATCACAAATAAGTGTTTATAAAAACCATGCAATGTGTATCAAGTGGTAAATTCGTGCAAGTGCCAGCACACTCTTTAACCTCCTCACCTCCTTAATGCGACCTCAAAGGGCCAAATAAGCATTCAGGATCACTCTGGATCCTTCACATCACCGGCTAGTAACTCTCCTTTTCCACTATATCTCCAGAAAGCCAAGGATCACTTATGGTCGCCTGTTCCTCCTCCAATGCCTCCTCCTGTGCCCTTTATAAAGGTACTCTGTGGGGTATATTACTCACAATACCAGTGAGTAATAAAAGAGATCCTCCATAGTGTAGTATTTAATGCAGTATTTTATTAAGAACAAAAGAAGTACACTCACATGAACATGCAGTCCCTTCCTCCTGCTGTGTGTGGGTATGCTGCATCCATGTAGTACTTCCTAGGTGTACTGGGTGTACTAAGATGGCGTCACTTTTATTTGTGTTATCACTTTTTTCACTAGTCACTATATTGATTATATGAATTTGTTGGTTTGTGATGTATTAGCACTATACATACTATATATATATATTTACAGTGGGGATCGAAAGTTTGGGCACCCCAGCTAAAAACAATTCAAAACCCACGTTTGACTGCACGATCCCTCCAGAAAGATCTGGCAGACACTGGAGTTGTGGTACACTATTCCACTATAAAGAGATACTTGTACAAATATGGTCTTCATGGAAGAGTCATCAGAAGAAAACCTCTTCTATGTCCTCACCACAAAAATCATCTTTTGAACTTTGCAAATGAACATATAGACAAGCCTGATGCATTTTGGAAACAAGTTCTGTGGACCGATGAGGTTAAAATTGAACTTTTTGGCCGGAATGAGCAAAGGTACGTTTGAGAAGAAGGGGCACAGAATTTAATGAAAAGAACCTCTGTCCAACTGTTAAGCATGGGGTTGGATCAATCATGCTTTGGGGTTGTGTTGCAACCAGTGGCACAGGGAACATCTCATGAGTAGAAGGAAAAATGGATTCAATAAAATTTCAGCAAATTTTGGATGGTAACTTGATGCCATCTGTGAAAAAGCTGAAGTTAAAGAGAGGATGGCTTCTACAAATGGATAATGATCCTAAACACACCTCGAAATCCACGGGGGATTACATCAAGAGTCGTAAACTGAAGGTTTTGCCATGGCCTTCACAATCTCCTGACCTCAACATAATTGAAAATCTATGGAAAGACCTTAAAAGAGCAGTGCGTGACAGACAGCCCAGAAATCTTAAAGAACTGGAAGACTTTTGTAAGGAAGAATGGGCAAAGATACCTGAAACAAGAATTGAAAGACTCTTGTCTGGCTAAAAAAAGCGTTTACAAGCTGTGATACTTGCCAAAGGGGGCAGTACAAGATATTAACTCTGCAGGGTGCCCAAACTTTTGCAGACGCCATTTTTTTTTTTTCTGTTATTTTGAAAGTGTAAATGATGGAAATAAAATCTAACTTTTGTTGACATATTATAAGAATGTCTAATCTGTAATTTGATGCCTTTTGGAGATTTTTCCATCTTTCCTTGGCTTCTTTATGCACATTAATACAATTTTTTTTGCTGGACTGCCCAAACTTTCGATCCCCACTGTATTTCAATTTATTATTTTTGTAGTTAGAGCTGCACAATTTATTTTTATTTTCATATATTGATTGGTTATCACTATTCGGTGTTGGCAGCTAGTGATCAGGGCTTATTCCCATATCAGCGCAGGAGGATTTCTAGTTTATCTTTACATCTTTCAGAGGGTTTTCTGCAGAGAGCCTAATTGCCTCTTACTTCTGGTGAGTGCATAGTGGTGGAGGATTGTCAAAGATGTCACCTTATGTCACTGATCATGATTGATCTCTACAATACTATTGGACACTGCACTTTTTGGACTTTATTTATGATTTAAGTTAATCTTATATATATATTTTTGTATAATTACTTCCTATATAAGTTTGCACAGGAATAATTTTGTGTTCATATATTTTGGACATAAGTGCTGCACTTTCTGTATATGATTCTGTTTTTAGTGGACTAGGTGGGTTTACCACTCTGTGATATCTGCTCTTTAAGTCTTTTTCTTTGCGCTCACTACATATTTTTGACACTTTAAAAAAAAAAAAAAAAAAATTGCTTCTACATTTTTAAGTAAAAAGGCACTTGTCATTTCTAATTGCTCATAAATCTCCAATATTAGCTGTCTAACATTTATCCAACAATTTAGCAAGTAAGTTATCTACTGTATGTAGATAGATGTGTTTCTAAGAGACCCCAAATAACAGACCTAATTTAATTAACAAAATTCTATTTCCTAAAAGAATTCATTGAGCTTAAAACCACCAAATATGACCAACAGATCCAGAGCTTTTTCCAGTTATATTTCTACCTTTTCCAGAACTCAATGGAAAAAGGAAGAATATTATAACTTTCTGCATGGTCTAGAGATTTTTTAAATAAAGCATTTTGTAAATTGTGTTTCATTGTTCTACCTTTTTTGCTTCTTCAGTGTTTGAAAAACTCATTCCAGAACTTGAAAGACATTGGTTTCCTGCAAGTCAAAGTACTTAAAGCCGAGGACCTTCTAGCTGCAGACTTTTCAGGTATGTGTATAAATCAGTTGCTATAATTATTCACGCTTACAATTTCCAGCCAGATTCCTTATTTGATGCTGATTGTAATGTACTGTGTTTTGATCCTAATTATTTGTTTAGGACAAAAAAGTGCAGTTTTTATAAATATTTCACACTTCAGTAGTTCATTGGCAAAGCTTCAGGCCCATTTTCAAATGTTTACCTGCCTATTCTTAGCTACTGTGTTGAAAGTCTATTTACAGAACTCTGGGCCAGATAAACTAAGACTGGTCTGTATCATTACGGAAGTAGATGGGTTTCATATCTCCTTGGTTTGAGTTGCAAAACCTCCTGAGATAGAGGTTTTGACGCAAAAGGATTATTTACATTGTTTTTTTTGTGTGTATGCAGACACTTGTTTGTTGGTTTTATTTTGGCTATTTGAATGATTATATACGATGCAATGATGTACTTTGCTAAAAGCCTTTAATCTACATGCTTGCTGTTGTTGGAACAGAGAGACTTTTTATTGTGTCTGCTCTGTGTGTTTCAGCGTGAGACTCTGCTGTGCATGACCGACATGTTTGTATTGGAAGGCTTACTTAAAGTGTTACTTACCACTAACAGTCAAATCAGTCTGTAGATGCAGGAAAGCATGCTTGTTATACTCACTGTGGAACCTAAGGAATTAATCCTCCACATTGCGTAAAAAGGTGGTTTGATCCTGTCTTCTCTGATCCTCCCCTTCTACTGTCCCCAATCCATCTGCTGATACAACGCCTTGAGCGCAAGCTGCACATGCTCAGTTTAGTGTGTATTGCTAGAGAGTTTTTTTTTTTTTTGGGAGAGTGCATGTGATCAGCACAGGGCCAATCAACATTGTCCAGACTGAGGGTTATGGGTTATGCAGCCTCATAGCACAAACATGGGAGAATGAAAACTCCTCCTACAAGCTTTAACCAGTGCTCTGCCGGACACTGATAGAAGTCACATGACTACTCTAACTGCTGATTACAGAAGGTATTTAGCAGTTGATATTCACTAAAATAATTGCATTTCCATGTTCTGTGTACTGTGGGAGACCAGATATAGTTAATGCAGGGCCTGGGGAGACCAGATATAGTGAATGCAGGGTCCGGAGAGACCAGATATAGTGAATGCAGGGCCTGGGGAGACCAGATATAGTGAATGCAGGGTCTGGGGAGACCAGATATAGTGAATGCAGGGCCTCGGGAGACCAGATATAGTGCATGCAGGGTCCGGGGGGACCATATATAGTGTATGCAGGGTCCGGGGGGACCATATATAGTGTATGCAGGGTCCGGGGAGACCAGATATAGTGAATGCAGGGTCCGGGGAGACCAGATATAGTGAATGCAGGATCCGGGGAGACCAGATATAGTGAATGCAGGGTCCGGGGAGACCAGATATAGTGAATGCAGGGCCTGGGGAGACCAGATAAAGTGAATGCAGGGTCCGGGGAGACCAGATATAGTGAATGCAGGGTCCGGAGAGACCAGATATAGTGAATGCAGGGCCTGGGGAGACCAGATATAGTGAATGCAGGGTCTGGGGAGACCAGATATAGTGAATGCAGGGCCTCGGGAGACCAGATATAGTGCATGCAGGGTCCGGGGGGACCATATATAGTGTATGCAGGGTCCGGGGGGACCATATATAGTGTATGCAGGGTCCGGGGAGACCAGATATAGAGAATGCAGGGTCCGGGGAGACCAGATATAGTGAATGCAGGATCCGGGGAGACCAGATAGTGAATGCAGGGTCCGGGGAGACCAGATATAGTGAATGCAGGGATGCAGGGTGCAGGGTCCGGGGAGACCAGATATAGTGAATGCAGGGCCTCGGGAGACCAGATATAGTGCATGCAGGGTCCGGGGGGACCCATATATATATAGTGTATGCAGGGTCGGGGGGACCATATATAGTGTATGCAGGGTCCGAGGAGACCAGATATAGTGAATGCAGGGTCCGGGGAGACCCGAGGAGACCAGATATAGTGAATGCAGGATCCGGGGAGACCAGATATAGTGAATGCAGGATCCGGGGAGACCAGATATAGTGAATGCAGGGTCCGGGGAGACCATATATAGTGTATGCAGGGTCCGGGGAGACCAGATATAGTGATGCATGCAGGGTCCGGGGAGACCAGATATAGTGAATGCAGGGTCCGGGGAGACCAGATATAGTGAATGCAGGGTCCGGGGAGACCAGATATAGTGAATGCAGGGTCCGGGGAGACCAGATATAGTGAATGCAGGGTGACCAGATATAGTGGTGCAGGGTCCGGGGAGACCAGATATAGTGAATCTAGGGTCCGGGGAGACCAGATATAGTGAATCTAGGGTCGGGGAGACCAGATATAGTGAATCTAGGGTCTGGGGAGACCAGATATAGTGAATGCAGGGTCTGGGGAGACCAGATATAGTGAATGCAAATGCAGATATGGCCCGGGGAGACCAGATATAGTGGATGCAGGGTCTGGGGGAGACCAGATATAGTGAATGCAGGGTCTGGGGATACCAGATATAGTGAATGCAGGGTCCGGGGAGATCAGATATAGTGGATGCAGGGTCTGGGGAGACCAGATATAGTGAATGCAGGGCTCCGGGGAGACCAGATATAGTGGATGCAGGGTCTGGGGAGACCAGATATAGTGAATGCAGGGTCCTGGGTTTAGTAACACTTTAAGTACGATCATTTGCACTACTTTTCTTTTGTGATTTGTTTTTGTATTACTAAAATATTGTCTAATAATAATTATTTGACATAAAAAAGGATTGGTGGCACACAGGACCAAAGAGAACTGACGCTCAAAGCTTGAAAACCGCCGATCTCTGGGGTTTCAGGTGCTGGCCAATGGAGATTGTCAGTGTTTACCACATGGAATGAACAAAGAAATCAGCCACACTCCAATGACATCAGATTTCACAAAGCTTTATTATTCCAGGAATAAAACAGTCTGCCAGATCGAGCCTCATTCTGACATGTTTTACCCAAAATGGGCTTAAAGAGATGAGTAAACCCTTTTTTGATTGAAACATGACAGAGTAAGGCTTGATGTGAGTGCATTCTTCCTTCATCTAGTCCTGGAATCATAAATCTATGTGAAGACTGATGTCATTGGAGTCTGACTTGTTTGTTCACTCCTAAGATTGATGGTTGTTGAGAAATGCGAATTGTCCCATGTGACATCTTTTTTTTGTTTTTTAGTTGCTTTGCATGTCAAATATATTATTATGTTGCAGAGAATATAGTTTATTTGATGCATACCGTCATGGCCAAAAATGTTGGCACCCCTACATTTCTGTCAGATAATGCAGCTCTTCGCCTAGAAAATTGTTGCAATTACAAATGTTTAGGCATTCGCATGGAGAGGACTGAACTGGCCAGCAACGAGTCCAGATCTCAGTCCCATAGAGCACCTGTGGAGAGATCTCAAAAGAGCAGTTGGGAAAGGGAACCCTTCCAATCTGAGAGTCCTGGAGAAGTTGGTGAAAGAAGAGCGCTTCAAAATTCCAGTAGAGAGGTGCAAGAAACTCATCGATGGTTACAGAAAGCCATTGATTTCAGTTATTTATTATTTCAGTTAAGGGGTGTGCTACCAAATATTAAATTGAGAGTGCCAATAATTTTGCCCAGTCCATTTTTGGGGTTTTGCGTGGAATGTGTCAATTTGGCTTTTTGTTTCTCCACTTTCTTGTGTCATACCAATACAAACAAAAGAAATAAACTTGAGAATGCATAAACATTTGTAATTGCAACAATTTTCTGGGCGAAGTGGTGCATTATCTGACAGAAATGCAGGGGTGCCAATATTTTTGGCCATGACTATGTTTGAATATGTATCTGTCTTGAGCCATCATCCTGTTGGCGCAATACTGCACACCTCTATTGCCCCAAGTATCGACAAACCTTTTTTACTGCATTTTTATTTATTTGGCGCTGACTACAAGCCATTTTGTTGGAAAAGTCACACTTGGGAGTTTTTGCAATTGGCATACTAGTCGCATCTTTCGTTTTAAAACCCTTCAAACTGAACTACTTGGTGCATCCAAAAATCTCCACTGCCAACTTACTGCATTCAGACAGCCATGGTACCTGCAATAATTCCATCTGATAGGATGCAGTCACTGTTTATCCAATAATTTTCCACGCAGCTTAGCTGATTTTTGCATCAGTGTTTGCTGTGCCTAGCAGTGCTTGCAGGACCACCTTTGACTTGACTTTTGACCTTCTATGGGATCTCAAAAGAGAAGTATGGTCAAACCTTTTTTGGCTATACTTCTATGGTAGGTCACAGGAGTGCCCTTACTTTTGTTATCTTGTGACTCAGTATAAGCCAATAGCAAGCTATTGCGAGGTGTCAGCTGACATGTCAGAGCCTCTCTAAGCTTTTGAAGGATCCTGACAATATTGTTGGGATTCACCCAGCTGCCTGATTGACAGCTGGCTCCACTTCTCAGCACATAGCTGAGAGCCAGAACCACCTGCGTCCATCCCCTCCCTTGCTCGGTGTTCCAGTGAGCGGTGGAGGAGCAAAGCAGAGAGCGGAGGCTGATGGTCACTGCTCTCCATTTAGAGCAGACTGAGAACTGGTTGTTCAGTGTTTTTGGGGCAACTGCAGTATCACACTGATACTCAGGGGCAGACCGACAACTCATAGGGCCCCCGGGCAATAGGGGATCATGGGGCCCCTGTGTCCTTGCCCAAACTAAAAAAGCCTATGAAAAAGGTACCAGGGGCATCTCATGGGGCCCCCTAGTGACCCCGGGCCCTCGGGCAGTGCCCGAGTTTCCAAATGGTCAGTCCGCCCCTGCTGATGCTACAGCATGGAGGTATGTATATTTATTTTTTTTTACAAATACTTCTCCTTTAACCCTTTGAGGACCGTAAGATTTTGGAACACCAAAAGAATCAATTTTTTTGTTTTTAAAGTTCGTACACTTCAGTTGCTGTAACTAAGCCATTTCATGAAATAATTGGCAAAAAGCTAGATCCATTTGTTTGTTGATAAGAACTAATATTTTGACTCAAACCAAAAAAAAAAAGTTTTAAGTTCTTAATCAGATGATACACGCAATTAAAAACATGGGACAAATACGTCCCTTGGTCCTCAAAGGGTTAACTGTGTAAGAATTACAGGTCCTTGGCACGGCTGGAAAGCCAGCGCAATGTCACAGCTTTCAGGGACTTTTCCCTAGCAGCTTGAGAACAACTCTGTCCGTGTCTGGCCCAGAATATGAATTTTATGTGAAATGGCTTTATGGAAAGACCGAGTACTCTAATTGTTATAGGTAATGTCTGATTGCACTGCAGAGGTTAATTTTATTTGATGCCTCATTTTGCTACCTATGACAGTGCACAGATCCAGAATTAATTGGAATTTCTTTTATAGGAACAGTTCACGAAAAGCTATAAGCTTATCCTTATTTTATTTGTTGAATTTAAATTGAACGCTCATCCTTTCACCACTAAAACATGAGCTGGTTGGATCTGAACCAGTGCATAGAGATGTTGATGCCGGGGATAATCGCTTTGTCAATGTGAAATGACTTTTCTGCCTCATTGACTGGTTTTTTATACATGTGCACATTTGCACAGATTGCGTTTGTTCACTGACCAAAAACAGTGTTCAGAAAACCAAATTGCAGGGTGAAATGGTCTTTTTTTCCCCCCCCCCCCATATCGTGTGTTCCTTTTTTATTATTATTGCCATAATCTACTTTTGCATTTTAAGTATCTTTTTTTGGTCATTAACTCTTTCCGTGCTCTGTTTTTTTTACATGAAGTTTTCTTTCAGGAGTATGTAGTTGTGGGTATGCCTGATACATCTCTGCGTAAAAATATGAATGAAAAACTTATATGCTTTTTGAACAAGAATAGAAGGTGGTGCAAAAAATCTATGAAGCAGTAGGTGAGAATGGAATATGATATGGACGAAATGGCAAACTTATATGCAGAACAAGACACCGTGGCATACTTACAGCTTAAAAGATCAAGATTGATAGAGCTTGTAGAGAGAATGGACCAAAAATGGAGTGTTCAGAATGTTTATTAAGGCAATATGGGTATCGGTAAGCCAAGGAAAAAGACATAGAGTTGACAAGGAGGAAGATTTGAAGCTTCTGGGGAAACTGCCTGAAGAGGGAAGGCTAGCTATACAGCAGCTATTTTCAATCAGGGCTCCATGGAACTCTAGGTTCCTCTAAAGGTTCTAGGAGTGGGTTCCTTGAGCAATTGCTTATTGACCTGCCATTTTATGGTGCCAAAATAGTTCCAGGATAAATGGCACTTGGCAAAGCCATCAGCATGGTTTTGCACAGAGCAACCCTGATCCTCCTCTTTTCGGGTCCTTTACTGGTGCTCCAGGCTCCTCCGTCCTGCCTAATGGATCTATAGCAAGTAGCTTGCTATTGGGGGCACCTTCTTCTGGTTGAACGGTGATGGAGCCTATTCGGATGGTGAAGATTTCCTCGAGTGTGGCACCAAG